CACCCACCCCCTGCATGCTCTCTCCCAGCCTCTACCCACTCCCTGCATGCTCTCCCCCAGCCTCCACCCACCCTGCATGCTCTCCCTCAGCCTCCACCCACCCTGCATGCTCTCTTCCAGCCTCCACCCACCCTGCATGCTCTCCCTCAGCCTCCACCCACCCTGCATGCTCTCTCCCAGCCTCCACCCACCCTGCATGCTCTCTCCCAGCCTCTACCCACCCTGCATGCTCTCTTCCAGCCCCCACCCACCCTACACACTCTCCTCTATCTTCCATCTCAATTCTGCCCACTCTCCCCAGCTGGGCTTGCCACTCACCTCTATAGATAACCAGACTGGCTTGTTTGTTGATGAGAGAAAGCTGCCACATGTGCGTCTGCTCAACAAGGGACGAGCCGCTGCTTCTGTAGCGTGTTCCAGGCTTCGGTCCCGCTTCAGGAAGATGTGCATCCAGGTGCTCTGGGTGATGAGAACTGAACCTCCCCCCTCTTCACTCTGCTTCTCTCTGTACTGTGTTAGAGACTACCCCGGAGCCAGAGAGCCACTACAGTAACAGAAGCTGAGGCTGTGGGAGGGTGGAGGGCAGGCATGGGCAAAGGGCAAAGGGCAGCTCTCTGAAGCATTGAGGAACAAGTTGCTGGGCAGGCAAGAGCCTCAGCAGCAGTCACCTGCGTGGGGACTTCCATGGCTCGTGGCCTGGTTTCCTCACTCTCCGTCTTTTGGGGCCTTGGCATGCTGGTCTAAAGCCTGCACTGGCCCTGGGGTACAGAGAGGGAAGCATGGCAAGGGGGAGGAGGATGTCAGTGGCGCACCTCAGCAGGGGTCGTGGCAGTGGATAACGGAAGTGTGGAACACAGGGGTCGTGGCAGTGGATAACGGAAGTGTGGAACACAGGCCGGCAGCGCCTGGGCCCCAGAGCCGGGCTTTGCAGCTGAGGACTCTAGATTCTGGTCTCTGAGGTCAGGTGAGGAAGGAAGTCTGGGATGTAAACCGTGCCTTGTGGGGGACACAGCCTGACTAGAGCATGAAGCTTAGTGTAAGGCAACAGAGATGACAGGGTCACTTTGGGATGAAAGGAAGCCCAGAACAAAGGAAATGAAGATGGAAAATTGGTGGGAGAAAGAGTCAGGGCCAGGTTGTTTGCACAAGTCTTAGCTGACGGGCAAATATGTTCCCTGGCAGCTGGGCAGTGGGGTTTGATGTCAGCCGGGATCCTGTGCCATGGCACAGTCTTCTTGGTCACAGAGGTGTCTTGCAGTCTCCAGAGCATGTTGCCCTGGGATATCCCATTGTCAAGGCAAGCTAGAGCAGGGGTGGCTGGCTCTCCCGGGCATCTTCCTTCTGCACCACGCTGACAGCCGGACCTGAGGTCCATAGTTAAGCAGGCCCGATGTTGATGGGGAAGAAACGGCAGCTCCTGAGCCTGTCCAAGCAGAGTCCTTGCTGCCCAGCGCGGTTTCCCCTCTGCAATTAATTTGTCATAAATGCGCTGACAAAGCGCTGCGCGGCTAATGGAGGCTGGAGGTGAAGGCCGAAGCCATCTCTCAGGGGAGGAAATTAACGAGGCTCCATTAAAAGCAAGAAGTGATTGAGTCAGCCCGTCCTCCGCCCTCAGCTCTCCAGCCCGTCTGCCCTCCCCCACCCACCCCACCTCAGGGTGAGGAGTGAACTTGGCCTTTGGATGGAGGATGGGGGATGTGTGAGC